AAAGGCAATGCTCGGCTTCTGCTTGGTTTCCCTGACAGCCCAGCTGAGCTCCCCTACTTCTTCCATATTTCTGTTTAATCAGTAGGACAAGCACAGGTCCTAATCTATGAGGGTTCTTTAATAAAGCTATATGTATGCATTCATTTTGGGGAAAAGTAAGCAATTCTTGGAGGATATAGAGGTCAGTGATGCTCAAGATATTTTAAAATGCAACAAAATGTTCTGAAATGTGCTGCATTTATCTTAAAAAGCAGTATAGAGGCTGGGCGTGGTGGCTCACGCCTGTAATCCCAGCACTTTGGGAGGCCGAGGTGGGCAGATCACGAGGCCAGGAGTTCAAGACTAGCCTCACCAACATGGTGAAACCCCGTCTCTACTAAAAATACAAAAATTAGCTGTGTGGTGGTGTGCACCTGTAATCCCAGCTATTCAGGAGGCTGAGGCAGGAGAATGACTTGAACCTGGGAGGTGGAGGTTGCAGTGAGCCAAAATCATGCCATTGCACTCCAGCCTGGGTGACAGAACGAGACTCTCTCTCAAAAACTAAACAAAACAAAAAGCAGTGTAGAGTTTTGTTTATTGTGGTATCTGTGGATATGTGTGTGTGTATTTATAAATAAATAAAGGTTTTCTTGATGTAGAGATACTAAAAATAGGTAATAAAGCCACGCATAATCCCATGAACCAAAGAAAATACTGTTTTCACGCATAACCTTCTAGCCTTTCTTTGCAAAATGGTATGTATTCTGTTATAGCTTTACTTTTTTCATATAAATTATTTGTATACAAGCATTCTAAAATTTCACCAACTGTGACATTCTGCCATTTAATTATAGTTTATGATCTTGATATTTAGAGGAAAACAGATTTCTCCTCCTTACATTAGTTGCTCAGGTCCCAGTCACCAGCAAAGAATTTGCCATTTGTTTTTTCCGAAATGACACTATTTTAATAGGGAACTTTAGATATTCAAGTCCCAAGCTTTTCTTGCTCCTGCAGATCACACTTTGAACAAACACTTCCCTGGAAAAGTTTTCTAGGATCCCTTAGAAGTAACATGTGCTGCCCTCTAAGGCCCTAAGAGTGGATGCTGCCATCCATAAACTCTTCTGCCTCTTCTGAAAGTTCTCCTTCCTTACCCTGAATGGACCAGACAAACCCATTAAGACAGGTGCTGTTTCTGCCCATATGCCTTATATGTAATATGTGATATGATTTATAGAACACAAACTTCCTGTTGCCGCAAGGCATACAAAGTGTTTGCTTGTCTAAGGAAAACCACGGATATGCCATGAAGTATGGGATGATGTTGCTTCCTGCAGCCTGGCTTATCAGCAGGGACATGTCTGCAGTTAACCAGTTACATACGTGCTATCTCCTTTGATAGGTCTTGGAGCATTCTGTCGTGTCAAGCAGTGACCTTTTGAGTCTTTTCTGTTAGGTCTCCCAGCTGTTTTCAATCCATCGAACAGTTTGGGCTAAAATAAATTATAAATTGTAATAAGGTTTTTCCAGCATTCATATGTATTCGATTTTAAGATTTAATGACCATGTGGGCCTAAAACAAATCTTTGAGTTCTTCTTTTTAAAAAAGCAATCAAGTGGAGTCTCTTGATTTTGACTATTTAAAATATTAATTTGTGGTCGTAACCTGCTTTTGGGCTGCTGTGAAAGGTATGGCTTTTTAAAACGAAGGTTTTCAGCAACTAGCCAGCAAAGAGGAACAAATACCTCTTTAAACAAAGATGTTCTTTTTTTTTTTTTTTTTTTTGAGACAGTGTCTCGCTCTGTCACCAGGCTGGAGTGCAGTGGTGTGATCTCGGCTCAATGCAGCCTCCACCTCCCAGGTTCAAGCGATTCCCCTGCCTCCCGAGTAACTGGGTCTACAGGCGCCCACCACCACACCCAGCTAATTTTTGTATTTTTAGTAGAGACGGACGGGGTTTCGCCATGTTGGCCTGGATGGTCTCGATCTCTTGACCTCATGATCTGCCCGCCTCGGCCTCCCAAAGTGCTGGGATTACAGGCGTGAGCCACCGCGCCCAGCAAAACAAAGATTTTCTTATTTGTTGTAATATACAGTTTGTTGTGGCAATTGGACTGGGATTTCTGGAATATTCCATGGACTACTTCCTCAGAGGAAACAGACCTTAATTGGTTACCCCTATATCCTTCAGACTGGTTGACTTTGTGCCGTTAACAATGAAAGGGCCATTAATTAGTGAATATTTATTTTTCAATTAGTATTTTATTGTCTCAGTGATATGTGAAAATGCTGGTCTTAAAAAAAGAATTCTAAATAAGGCTAAAGTTTCCTTAAATGAGTCCCTCTGATCCTTGCCCCTCCTTGCACTATTGAACATATCCCCATTATCCCTTTGATGTGGACGTTCATGGAAGGCAAAAGCCACGCGTGTGTTTGAGTGTGTGGAACACCTGTCTCCTGCTGTGCCTGCCATTCTGCAGCGTGCCATTTTACTGAACATTATGTTTTAAAGATTATGTTGTTACCTGTAGAGACAGCTCATTCCTTTTAACCTAGCTTTGTAGGTTGGCTGCCTCACAGTTTTTCAGAACTTCCAGTTGTGTCCAGTTTTCCTTTCTACCAACAATAGTGCAGTGAACATCATTGTGAATGCACCTTTGAATGTACATCAGTAGAGAATGTAAAATGCCCCTTAGTTTGTATATGAAGCTCCTAAGAGAAGGGATTTGAAGATCGGCCACAGTCTTACAAATAATTAGCAGAGTGTAGATTGAAACCATTTTCCCTGACTCTGCTTACGTAATGGAGGATTCTTTCCAAATTTTCTTGTCGGTCATTAGGATCCTGGGGAGAGTCAAGTGCAGTAAAAGATAACTATGGCGAAACCTTACTGATTCCAGTTAACTAAGAAGGTCTCTCTGAATTAGGAGAAAATATGAATTTAAAGATGTCATCTTATATAATTTTGAAGTTTGTACAGTGACCCACACTAATACAACCTAATGATATTTCTTAAGGGAATCATATGAATAAGTCAAGAAAAGCACCTGATCATTATTTAAAAAAAAAGACATATCAAAATTGTTCAACACAGTTATTTGTATCCATAGGTAAAATATTTTCTCCTATAACCTTTTTTATATTTTAATATGCTTAGCAGATGATTTTTCTCTAGTTAGTGCAAGATAACCGTACCACTTCCTTTCTGAATGACGTAAATTAGCCAAGGAAGGAAAAAAGGTGTAGTCATTTGAGTAACTCCTCTGTGCCAGGTAGGACGCTCTTAAACATTTTCTCTTGTTTCATTATCTTAATAATCTTATGAAGTGAGTCTTACTATTTTCACTTCATAAATGGAGAAACTGAGACAGAGAGGGCCCCAAAGCATTTTGTTAACGGATGCCTATCTGAGTTTGCCTGACTTGAAAGAGTAATACTCGACTGTATCCGAGTTTCCTTAAATACGGTCCTCGGATTCTCTGTATCAGAATCTCCTGGAATTTTTGCTAATACTGCAGATTCCACGGCCCCCAAGGGTGGGACCTGGGCTGCTGCATTTCTAACAAGCTACCAAGTGTGCTTTATGCCCTCTAAGGTCTGGGAGCCAGACTTCTATGGTGACCTCATTTTGGTGACGCGAGGAACCTTGCCAGAGAGTGCCCCCGTGCCTCCCAGCACGAGTAATCCTCATCATGCCTCACTCCCAGTGGGCATTTTGCAGGCTCATCTGGACTGCTTCCTCCTTACTCACCCACTTGCCTTGCCTCACCTCATATTGCTTGTGCTGAACTTAGCATCGCTTATGGTTTGACAAGTCACTTCCAAAAGAGTTGACATCATCACACTCCCTAGGAATCACTTTCAAAAACAGGTTGAAATCTCCAGTGCAGCATCCCCAGATCCCAGGCTTCTCTTGTGTGCTTTACACAGATAGAATCTGCATTTTGCATTGTAACTGCTGCCCAAAGGAAAAAAATCAAAAGAGGCAACAACTTGCAGAAATGATTACTTTTGAAACACCAGTATACGCTTTATTTTCCTTTCTCGCCTGTCTTTCGCACCCTTCCCTGGTAGTAGATTTCCCGTAAGTCTGCCCCTAATTGCTCCTGACTTCCCTAGAATTGGGGAGATCACTTGTCCCTTCCAGCTCCAGCCCTCCCACTAAGGGGGCAGGGTTTCGGAAGAGCCAACTAGATTCAATGACCACCTTTGCCTTTCTTTCTCCATTACTATCTTTTTCTTTCAGCTTTGTGCAATTTTTCTTTTTCACTCCCAAATGACATGCTTTCCCTTTTGAAGGGCTAGTCCTGCTCCAGTCCTTTCCAACAAGCTGTGAGTAGGAGGTTGCTTGGATAACTGGCAGACATCGAGACAGACGTGTGCTGATGATCCAGAGGGGACCCTAGACCAACTTGGATTTGTGTTCATTTGTTAGCATTCTGTGTTGGCAAAAGAGCATCCGTCTTTGTTTTGGTATTGAGCTCATCCAAATAAAGCAGCATTTCCTCTTCTGAAAGGCAGAGGAACAAAAAAGAAAAGACCAAAAAAAAATTTTTAATTTTAACCATGTACTCCTTTGAAACTAAATATATACCCTTTCCTCTGTCCTGATTGGTCCTTTTCAATTGACAAGTGGATCGTGTGGAAAGGAAATATCCTGGACTTAATTGTAAGTTAAGTCTCTCTTAATCCAGAAGAGCATTTGAGATTCTGTCCAAGTGTTCAATTTCCCAGGCCGCTGAGGTCTGTGAATTTCTTTTCCCAGCCTCCAGGCTGCTGCAGTACAAGTCAGCATAGCTAATGCAGATAGATCTCCTGCCTCTCGCTCTCCTCCTCCCTCTGCTTTGATTCGATATGAACAGCCTGGTAACTCCGATGCTGGGGAGAAATCTGACATAACTCTGCAGATGGCTAGGTTGCCATGGAACACCTGGGGATTGTTCTTTAAGGAAAAGGTAACATTTATATGCTAATGATTTCTTCCCCCCTCCCCTCCTTGTTGCATTTTTTCCAGGGCTGCCAGTTCCCAAGAAGAGCCCAAAGTCGGTAAGGACTTGTCAGTTACTTGGTGCTTGCTGGGGTTGGGGTGGATGGTCGGGGGCTGGAGGTGGGAGGGTACTCTGTGGGGCTTCACTTCACTAAATGTGTTTTACAGTGGATGGGGGAAGACAGTAGCCGGGGCTCATTTTCTTAAGTTCTGGGGATCCGTTTGTTATAGAAGGTATTTGGGCTTGTCTTTAACTGTATAGTGATTTGTGGGCAGGCTGCAGGAGCAGGATAAAGAATGCATGTTTGAAATCTTCTCTATATAAATGCGTCCAAACTCTCCTTCAAAGGGATGAGTTTCTTAGCCGTTTTAACTTGATACAAATGCTATTGTTTCCTTTGGAAGGAGAGAAAAAAAGAAAGCTCCACCTGCTCCGTGAGTAGCATTGCTCTCAACTGGTGTTCCCAGCCGTCCACTTGTCTACCCATTCTCTCCCTTAGCTTTCTTAGGTGCCAGAGGATGAATTATTTACAAAATAAAAAGCCTGTAGGTTTAAGGAAGAATTGCTCTGCCCCATATATGTGACCATGCTCAGATGGAACAATGTTCACTGCCCCAGCACTGAGAATAAGACATTTCCTTGCTGTGGAAATGTCCTTTGTTGTTTTGCCAGCTTTAGCAGCATTATGCTGCAGGTATAGGATTCTTTAAAAAAAAAAAAAAAAAAATCAATGTTTTGCTGTCTTTTCTAATCTGGTTTCCCTGAAGATGCATTACCTAGTTGACATGTTAGCTAATAGCTTAGAGGCTATAGTGTTTTGCTTGGTGGTATGGGTTTATGCTCCCAGGGCACTAATGACAAATTAAAATGCTGCTTAACTCAAACTCTGGAACTCCAATGCCTGTGAAATTGATCTGGGTGGAAGGGGCTTCCCAATTCATTAATATTAGGATAAAGAGGGATGTTTCCATGTGCTTTAGAAGATTTGGGGGAGGGAAAATGTACAGCCTTGTGCCATCCAGGAAGGGAGAACCTTGAAAACTTTGCGGCTTACGGTGCTGCAGCTGAATTCTTTCCACCTGTCTCCCAGCCTGGCAGCACGAGGCAGAAGTTTATTAAGATGAGAGAGGGAGCTTCCTGCATTTTTAAACCTCACTCCTAAGTTCTCCAAAGAGAAAAACCTGCAATAGTTGATTTGATTCTGATGGCATAGTGCCGTGGTGATTGGAATATTGACTTCAGGGCTGGTTTCCTTGTCAGTGTGTGTTAATGTCCAGGCAGAAAAGTGCTGGTTGGTGCCCACATTGGAGCCACAAAGACGCCGAAGTGTGTGCATGTGCACATGTGTGTCTCCCTGTCCTTTGGTCATAGCCAGTAACCCATCTGCCTTCAGAAAAATGGAAGGAAATCCAGAAGATGTGTCTCATAAGCTTGAGTTAACGTGAACCATTCTTTTGTCTCCCCCACCCCAGCCATGCTATATTGATACATGGGCTTATTTTACACACCCCATATGGAATGGAATCTTAACAAGGAGTGTGCTGAGGGAGACATAGTAGTTTTGCACAGGTAGCATGACGTCAAGTAGCAAGGTGTTCTTTTCCATTTTGCATTCCATTTAAATTTAGTGTGCAAAAGGATTTTTGTAATTCATTTGCATTCCTTCTTCCCCCAAGTGTTTTGGAATTACCTGGTGAACTCAAAGGCTATCAAATAGGTATTGAACCTGCATTCACCAAGTCAGTTAAGAGAATTCCCTATGACAGTTAATTTTTGCAGAAGCCATGTCATTAGCAAGCAGCAAGCCAATTACTCGGGCTGCATTCCTAAGAAAGAAGCTCTCAACTGCTTTGCCCATAGTCTGCTGGCTCTTAATTACCACAAGCTAAGAGAGTGATGTGTTGCTGGGTTAGAAAAGAATAAGCCCCCAGCTTGGGACTTGTCCTTACCTGATTTCTGCGCCAGGACAGGGATGAGGGTTTTCACAGCATTGCTGGCACGCACTGGCAGCTGCTGTACAAAATTTGGGAGCTGTTGGCCAAGGTCTGCTGTTGGATGTAAAGTGCTGTTAACATCTGTGATCAGTGAGAGTCCTGTACAGGTGGGTTGAAAGCGGTTTCCCTTTCCCAGTTTGAATTTTGATGATGTCCTGCCAGGGAGACAGATGATTATGGGATTTTTCTGGTGGGGTCAGAGGGAATTCACAGGGAAGCTGGATGTCCTAGTACCAGAAAGCCATTCAAATCATGACAGATAAGGTCCGTTATGCAGGATGCATAATGAAAAGCACACTGATTGTACCTGGGTTGTGACTCACTTAGATTTGGCAATAGCTCTGAGCATATGTGCACAGTGGTCTTAGCCCAGGACTGTTGTGTTGTGGTTGTTTTGTTTATTTGATTAGAGGCTCCTGACAATGTTGGTTTGCTCATGTGACTGGCAGCTTCCTTTTGCCCTCATACCTTTTTTTTTGTTTTTTTTTTTGTTTGTTTGTTTTAAGGTTTTCAATAATTAAGTAGTTGGGTTTTTATTAGAACAGAAGGACTTATCTTTTTTTATCTCGTTTCTTCTCCTGGATAGTCCCTGTAGCTTACTCTTAATAAGCAATTTCACCTGCAAGATTTAGTTTAAATGTTGAAATTGTGGTTTATATACTCATTGGGGACAATGGCAGTATCTTAATAAAATTTTATTAATTTAATACCTGGACTCTCATAACATCAGGGATTTTTCTGCCAAATAGCAGAGACAAAAATAAGACATATTTTCTGTCAGGCTTTAGACCTCTCTGGGAAACTGATTCTGTGGCCCAACTTAATCATCCTTACTGAAAACTCATTTAACTGAGACTCTCAGTCTAAATCACCCACAAGGATCTTGTGTATGAGAATTTAAAACTAAGTATCACACCAAACCCTGAATTTTAAGTCAGTATCCACCTGTTTTCTTATGAATTCATTTCCCAATTATTTTCCCTTCATCTGTCCCCTCTTTTTTTTGAGATGGAGTCTCACCTTGTCATCAAGGCTGGAGTGCAGTGGCACAGTCATAGCTAACAGCAGCCTCGAACTCCTGGGCCCAAGCAATCTCTTGCCTTAGCCTGCCAAGTAGCTGGGACTATAGGTATGCACCACCATGCCTGGCTAATTTTTATATTTTTTGTAGAGACGGGAGTCTCACCATTTTGCCCAAGCTGGTCTCAAGCGCTCCTCCTATCTTGGCCTCCCAATGTGCTGGGATTACAGTCATGTGCCACCGCACCTAGCTATCATCTTCTATTTATCCATCTGTTCCTCCACCTACACATTCATCTTTCATCCTTTCATTCATCCATTATTCAGAAAACTAGTATTTAGAACCCATTAAATATCAGGTTTGGTGTGAAGCGCTGGAAATACTATAATAAATAAGATGGTCATGGCACCTCTTTTCTTGCAGTTTGCAAACAAACCATTTATTGATTGCTCCTTACAAAAAAAAAGATTCATTGTCACAAATTTCCAAAATGTTTGTGCAGTCATTTCATCAACAAGTATTTATTATTTTATGTGTGCCAGGCCCAGTGCCAATATTTGATAAGAATTAAGCAGAAAACATCCCTGCCCTCATGGAAATGGGGAGGGAGAAACAATAACCACATCAGTAGTCAGATCTACAGAGATCCTCCCCTCGTAGGGATTAAAGTGTGATGAGCGTTAATAAAGCAGAAATATAACACGGAACCAAGTACACACATAATGTAATCATTCCACTCTTAATTATAAGAACCTATAAGTCATCATAAAGTGCCAACACCCACGACTGAGTAAGTGCTGTGATTGAGCTGTAGAGTACTTTGGAGTTCCCCAGCAGCCTAGGCAACATAGGAAACCACATTCTTTACTCAGCTCTTATTGTCAGATGAAAGAAAGTGTACCATATTCACTAAAGAGACAAGATTTTCCTATTTACAAAAGAAAAAAAAATATCCTACAAGAAGTTTTCATATAGAGGACCCTGGATGGTGGGGAAAGCATCCAGTGCCCATCCACATTGAAGAGGCAGTCTCTTCAACAGCCTCTTTACAGCAGACATAGCAAGCTGTCTGCAGGGTAGCCACAGTGATAGGTTTTTGTTCCACTATCCTCTCTGTCCCTTTCCCCTGCAAGAGATGCTAAAGGAAATTGCTGAAAACTAGTCATTAGGAAATGTGAGGGAGATACTCCTTTTATACACACATACACTGAGTGACTCTGGCCTAGATCATTCCATTGTATGTACCCTGCCTCTTTCTCAGACTCACCCAGTTGTGTGGCACCAGTCTTCCTTTTCCCTAATGCCCCCGGGTGATAACCAGCATGATGATTGATCCCATCAAAGCTTCTACAGCCTACAAGAAGAAGCAGTGAGAGTAGTAGATGGGTGAAGGCATAGGATCACTTAAGTCAGTCTCCTTGCCTCTCACTTCCCATGGCAACTCCCCTTCTCTGCCGTTTGGAACCCTGGAAGATGGACTTTGCCATTGTATTACATTCCTTTAAAACATGCAATGTGAACCAGAATCCATTTTCATATCCAGTCAGTGCCTGCCTTTTCTTCTCCATTAACTCCTCTTGCCCACCTTTTTGGAAGAAATCATTTGACTTAGACCCATAAATGATCAAAGAAACAAACAAAAAGAAGGACCATCCTCTGCATTGGCTTGGATTCGAGTCTCTGATTTTCACACAGCCTTTAATGACATTGGCCTAATACCTCATCAGCACTTGGAGTTTTTCCTGTTGTCCATGTAAATCGCCGCAGTAGCCTTCGCTCTTGGCAGATAAGTGAACTGTAAATAATTTTGCTTTAAAATGGATTGATTTGTCATTTTTAAGCCACATGAATTCTTTTCATCATTTAAGCTCCTAAGTGCTGTCTGTATTCATTTGCTCTTCCAAGCAAATACTTTCAGTTCACTTTGTAAGTACCTACATTTTGAAATCATTCTGGGAAATACTGATGAGTTGATTTTTTCTTCCCGTTTCCATTTATAAAAACCATTATGTCTTCCCAATTTCCCTGGCCTGACAGTAAGTA